CAAGGAGCGTAGTTCCGAATAGAATTTTGCACACATTGCATGAGCCTCCACAGTAATTTTCCCATGGATTGATCCGAAACGTTATTACCATTGAGAACGCTTTATAGTGTGATGTTATTATTTTACATCGCCACAGTCGTGATAAATATTCAATTTATAAAATGATTTTCAATAACAAATTCAAAGCGCCCGTGTTCCATTACAATTCTACACAACAGAACATTTTATAAAATAAATACGTGTGCCAACATATTTCATCTGGAAAATGATTTGAAATCCTTCTATTACTGTTTCGCATGTTCATGAAGGAGTTTGTCCCAAAATAGTATCACACTAATGGGGAATTACAATTTTTCGTACTTATTGAATTAATAAATAATTATGGTGAATTGGCTCTAATTGTGTTTCACCTGTTATCTGTTCCGCATAACCTATAAATAAATAAGCAAATCGCATTAATTGTATTAAATCATGAATTTTCAATCAATGTTCTCCATTGTCCACAGTTGATAGAGGTATTTATACTGAACACAAAATTGTAGCATTAATTAGGTGATATTAAATGATTATATTACAATACTCAGGCACAAAATGAGCGCTTCGGGGATGGAACAAATTGATCCGAATGAGGTATTATTTTCCCAATTTTGATCGTCCTGAACTGAGAACACACAGATGTAGGGTGAATTTGTGAGAATTTGAATATGCTGCGAATACATCATTACGATGTATTTTAAAATATAATTATCCTTGAATAAATGGATACTCGCAAAAAGAATTGTATTAAATTCCTCTCCTTCCTTATGGCGAATACCGGCACACTTTCCTTCTTTTTCACTGAGGTTTAATTATAAAACAACACAGTATAGCAATTATTATTACACGCTTTAATGGCGAATATCTTATGTACATATTGTATATATACGTCTGATCAATATGTATCAATTTCATTTTCCTTTCCATCTCTTTATACATACGTGTGAGTGGGAATCCAATCAGCATTATGTATTCACAAGTTCTCAGAATTCCTATAAATTCTATTTGAAACCCGATCTGTGCGAGTGCAACATCCTAAATATCCTTGTTGCGCTTTTCTAATGCTGTAGTATTGACACTCTGTGAAGTAATATACCATGGTAATTGTCAGGAGGAGGATGTTGAGGCAGAGTGTTTCGAGTGATGTAGTAAATTGTGAAACTTGTGACTGAAATACCAACTCAAACAAGGGCTAATACAAATGATTGGTGCAACGTCTCTATCTCGGGCGGAATACCAAATATTAAACTATCATATTGACACACAAAATAATTCCATTTTTCCATCGTAGCTCCACAATGACATAAGGGGAAATATATTGCTGGCAGAACTACAATATAGCTGTGGAATTTTCACTAAAGAGATATTGAAGAGGGATTATTTGAATTCTGCCATTTTTTCTCACTCTTGCAATCGACTTTGCATATATCGAGGAAAGTAAAGAAAAACTCTGCTACTTTCAAATTGCAATTCAGTTGCAGAAAGAAATTGAACGCTGAAATATGTTAATTGAATCAGAAGAAAATACAACTTCTACTTCACGAAGTAAGAGCATTATTTTACTTTAACAAAAGCTCCATTTGGAAGGACAGATTTAGGATCTGCATAATCTAAAATAAATTTTGAGCAGAAACACTTTTACGAGGACTTGCTGGAGTAGAGAGATGATGGATTTGTTACGTGAAAATTCCTATAGTCCCATTAAAATTCAAGCATTCCTTTTCTCTCATAAGAATTATCAGTATTTTTAAATCGCCCACACAGTTGGATTTATTCTTCCTTTTGAAAACAAAATTTATACACTGGCGGTAAATTTGCCCTTCGGGTACTAAATACGGAGCAGAAATCCCCGCCTTATCGAATTTAACAACTTCATCTGAATAATTACACCTTCTGCGAAGTGGGAAAAAAATGTAAAAATATGCAGTATTTCGCCCCTCAATATAAGAGCGAAATATGATTTTCTTTAGAGAAGAATCTTCCGACTCTTTTCTGAATGCAAAAACACCCTGGAATTCTCAGAAATCTCATTTTGGGGTGAAGAATGAGCACTAAAAAATACATAAGTACCTTAATTCTATGTTCCGAAGCAAAGGCGATTTGTTTTGAAGCAAATTATTCATACGCACACAAAGTTAAAGTGGTGATATTGTGATTTCGTTAGTTTTAAGATTATTTATGTTGATAAAATACTGCATTCTGGAATGAAATTTCTAGCAATATTCATTTTGAAAAGTTTTTAGAGCTTCCAGCTTTCACAACATTCTGCAGAAAGAAGTCCCATAGATCATAAGATGCCTGAGAAAAACATTGCATTATTATTCTTCTATCGTTCAGATGCAAAATTACACGATAAAGGAAAAAATTAGTTTTTATATGGGAGTTCTTTAGAGTTGCAATAGAAGCCATCTCCTATATCAATCAACAATGACTGGCTGGACTAAGAAGTCTTAAGTATGTGGTTTATTTCGCTGAAGTTGAGGAGAAATCGATAAATTGTGAATTGCTCTTTTCACACTGCCAAAGTTAGAGCAAGATCAAAAAGTAAAGGTACACCGAGACCCTCACTGTTGATACTCATTTGGCTTTTTCAAGCCAAAAACTCGGCGAGAAATTACATTATGTACCAGTTAAACAATGTTATATATAACGCTGAGTTTAAAACAACTTTTCACACGTTTACTGATTGCATTTAGGATAAGAATTGAGGTAGAGTGTTGTCTTGTAGGGGAGGCTCCAAAGAAATGGTGTTTGCACTTTTATGTGCGAATCGTCTTGATGGTGATGAATTTTTGCACCTTACTTGCTTCCTTTTGGCCAGAGACGCTCTCCTGTGCACACGCCGTGCGCTGATTCCATTTCAAGATAGTCCAGCAGACTCAGCACTCTCAATTGCTTAACTGACGCTTCGAGAAGAGTTAGCACTTTTCGTACTATCATCTGTATACGCCCCACTCCCGAAACATATCTATTTCGCGCATATCCAAGTACATCTCACTGTTATACTTGCACCTAAATATGACATGAAATTGCAACTGTCACGATCCGTGAGCAAGGGTTCACAGATATTGCCGCTGAATCAAATGGCTTTTGACAAAAACACGTATTTGCACTAGCGGCGGTACATAAAAGTTTGATATAATTTGAATAGAGAGTATTATATTCATACGTGCGTATATTCTACACCCCAAAACCGAATGATAGCTTATCTGTAAACAATAATTGTCTGTACATTTCAAAATGGATTCAGCGCAGTTTTATCGATTGCAGAGCTTTAGACAGTTTAATCACTAATAGTTACCATGAATTATGTTGATTGTCAACTTTTCAAACTTCAACTTTGGCCAAAAGTGCAGCAAAATTAACACACAACAATTGGGGCACAAAACACATCGTGTTAATGATTATGCTTGTGCAAGAAAATGGGGAGTGCTGGCTTAACACTGCAGAATCCCAACATTCATAAGCTTAACTGTTTTCTCCCGAGTGGTTTTCTCAGCTCTTCCATTCTGGGAAGAAATATTACAGATTTACATGTAGAATAATGTAAGAAATGCAATCAACTCAACGCTCACCACTCTTTCGCAATTTCAAATATTCCTTCTGCAATGCTACGCCATCACTTCTCATTGTGATATGAACATATAAATATGTACTGTCGGAATATTGTTTGCTTCTAAGTAAATTCTGTTACCTGTCTGTAAGGCGATTTACATACAATTTTGATAATCACTTAGGAAAATTGTTAATAAGATTTGATTTTAATTAAATTATCCTCCACTGTATCTCTACATGGGGAAATATATTTAATTTAACGATGACACGCATCGTGCTCGTTACTCACATTCGCTCGAAAGGCAGTGTGGGAGGATTACATAATGTATTGATTCCTTGAGAAGAGAGGCAACACAATAATGTGTTGAGCAAAATATGTACAACATAAATTTTCATTAGAAGATTGAGGTTTCCATCGAATTTAATACCTACAAAGTCTCCAAGGGAGCTTCTCCGCACTTTTGCCCGTATCGATTCGTCGAATCATAATTCTCTTAATCCGTATTCATTGTGCTTAAGGTAAATCAAGCCTTTTGTGGAGCGTCTTTGTCTCAATTTCACCACACATGCTGTCATTAACTGACGACATCTCATTAATATGTGAATTCAATAAAGTTCGTCAAAGTTTGAAATGAGATCAAGGTGAGAGAAGATGATTTCAAAATATAGATCACTTCATTATGTACATGTAGATGATTTGCCTCGTTTTTGAGCACACTTTTCTCCAACTTTCGGAGGTGAGAACATTTTAGAGGGGCATAAAACTTTGCAATTTTAGATAAAGCTTTATTGGGAATTGCCTTTTCTTTGGGGAAGAGATAATTTTAATGAATTAATTCACGACTTTATCGCCAGTTTTAAAGCGAGACCGTAATTTAATAAAGTCGCCGATGGGAGAATGCTAATGAAAGGAATGAGCTTTTCTTGACCATTTTGCTTATAGAATTAATTTGTAATTTGTTCATTAGTCGGTGATAAGACGACTAATATATGTGTCTTCCCACCATAGCTCGAGAAAGGCGATAGAGCTGCTATGTACAATATCAAAGTGAATTTCATGCGACTCGGTCATTTCTGAAAAGCTGAGCTTAAAATGATAGTATAATTATGTTTTAAATATTCAGGTCATTAATATGTAAATTTTAAATTACCACTCTTTATGGATTAGCAGATTGGAGTGGTACACTTTTATAAAAGTGCCATAGCCATGGCTGGAGGAGGTGTAAAATCGCTTTGGCGGAAGGGGAGAATGGTGCACGCAAAGAATTATTGTGGATTGAGGACTGTTGTGTGGGTGAAGAATGGGGGATTAGTGATTAAATTTGTCATGTGGCAGATCTTGGGGAGAAATGTCGTGTTTAATTGCGAGGAGGGCTAAATTAAAGTTGATTTCTTTCTATTGTCCATAGTTCCCATAACGTCGGTCCAGGGAGTGCTGGCCAAACAGGCGATGCTGCCCTGCGACATCACCCCGATGGAGAGGGATGATGCAGTGTACATGGTGCTGTGGTTCAAGGAAGGCGACGGAGAGCCACTATACAGGTAGAATCCTTATCCTTTCCTATCATTCTTCACATGTCAAGATCTTCCTTGAAGGAGTACAAAGACTATTTATTGCTTCTGTCGATAATTTAGCGCTCATGTCGGGAACTAAAGCTCTTAAGCACATTTATCATAAGACAAACTTGGCAAGTTTTCATGCCCTATATATATTTTATACACAGCTTCGATGTGAGAGGTCGACAGTTTGGACAAGCAAAACTTTGGTCATCGCCGACAGCGTTTGGCGCGAGAGCATTTTTTCGAACCGCCTCGCATCCGGCTCAGCTTTTAGTAGATGACATCAAACTTTCAGATGAGGGAATGTACAGATGTCGAGTGGACTTTCGGAACTCACCAACGAGGAACTTAAAGATAAATTTCACAGTTATTGGTTTGTATATAAACTTTTCTCTCTATCTCCATTGTTCCCTGTGATAAATCAGTCTCACGTTTTGACACTAATCTAATCCTTTTCTTCTGCCTCCCGTAATTATAGAACCACCAGACAGACCTATTATTTATGATGCCCGCAGAATGGATCGCACAAAGCTCATAGAACCCTATAGTGAAGGCAGCGATGTTACACTCATTTGTGAAGTATCCGGAGGTAGGTTGCCGTCTCTGAATTAACAGGAAGTTCGTCTAAAAAAAGATTTTTCTCAAATTCCCGAGAAGAAGCCCTCGAGCTCAGGAAGGACACTTCGGTGTGAAAATATGGGAACAAAGTGGGATAATATGAATTCAATCCACATTCTCTGTTATAGAGATCAGAAAAGGATTTTGCTTTCTCTATTTGAATCTGGGAACTCAAAAGTGAGATATTTGTAGGGTGTAAAATTGCGATTACGCGATTGTCTGGAGAGTTTAAAACCACAATCTCCTTTAAATTGTGACACTTTTCGCTGTGATTTTAATTTTCCTGAATTTCGCAGGAATACAGGATATTTGCAAATGAATGTCTGCTGAAGCGCTCTCCTTTTCTCCAGATCTAGCAAGTGAGATTATAATTATTGCCCCAAGTGTACGCAGTTCCTTTTGCATATCATACCTATAATCTGTGAATAAAGTGAAATATCTTACGAAACTGCTGCAACAATAACTTACGTGGGTTGAAAAAGTTATTGTTGCATGGGGGTGGATGGGGGGAGTCGGCTGACGACGAAGCGAGCGAAGAGATAAAGTAACAATAAAGAAAGTGCTGAAAGATGCACTTACTTTTATTAATGAAAGTGGTTTTTAATTAATTTTCTTACTATGACACACGGAAAACAATGAAGACAGAGCTCGAGGGGCGGGCGCGTGGAGTGCTGTTGACACACACCCCACACCGCAAATTCTGACTCCAGTGCCGTCTGAGCGCCCTTTTGGCAATAGGGTGGATATTCAAATATAATAAGAGAGGCAATATTTATTCTTGGAAAATCTAATCTACAGGACGACCACGACCCAATGTCACATGGTATTTGGACAATACCGTCATTGATGAATCGTTCGAACATCGACCGGACGGTGTCACCGTAAATCACTTATCATACCCAAACATCGGAAGACAGCATTTGAATGCACGACTTGTTTGTGTGGCGAGCAATACAAATTTGACGCCCCCTAACAATAAAGTGGTCATATTGGATGTGAATTGTACGTATTTGCCGAGATAGAGTACCCATGATTGGCTCCTAAACTGACTTTTTGCCATTTGTACACCCAAAACACTCCAGTGAAGCCAGTCGCTGTGCACATACTCACAAAGGAGAGAGTCGTTTCGGCTGATAGACGCTACGACGTGGAGTGCAAGAGTTCCGGATCCAGGCCGGAAGCCGTGATCACATGGTGGAAAGGCTCTCGCCAAATAAAGCGCATGTCGAAAAACGTACGTAGAGCAGCTAGATATGGCACTCAAACCTCATTTTTTACCGACTATCCCTTTTCCATGGCATTTGTTGCACCCGCCGTTTTGAAATTAAAATATATTTAAATGAAGTTCTCTCCGCAGTTCTCTGAAACTGGTAATCAGTCACTGAGTGTGCTCACATTTACACCAACCGTTGATGACGATGGCAAGTACTTGACATGTCGAGCGGAGAACCCTTTCATAGCTGATAGTGCACTCGAAGATAAATGGAGACTTGTTGTTCACTGTAAGTGTTTTGTTATTTATACTCACTATTATGTACCTTTAGCTGTGTGATCTCCGAAATGGGGATATTTTGAGCAATACACTTTACCTTTTCTCTACAGCCATTCATCTGTGCATTGGTTTCAAAAAATTGAGACAGAGATCAGTTCTGATTGAAAAGTTTGTCTAAATTCACCATAAATTGAAAATCCTTTACGGAACTCAAATATTTGCAAAGCAAAACTTTGTTTTTCTGACAGATTTCCAAACAACAACATCAAAATAAATTAATTACCTTTATAATGTAGAGGAATTATTTGAAATTGAATGACAATTAAATCATAATCGGATGGGAAATATTTATAAATCACGCATATAGTGGGAAATAATGTCCAGTTAGAGAATGTGTGTGTCACCTGAAATTATTGTTGAATAAATAATTTATTTATTTGAAGGAGGGATTTTTGCGGTTTTCTATGCATTCTGAATGGTTTTTGGTCAACTACAACAAGCCCAAAACATGCACAAAATTTGTGCATTTCAGTGCCACTGAAATGTAATTTTCACCACATCAACTGATAGTTGTTAACAGTATCGACGAATTTTCCAAATATTATAGAACTTTTAATTTTGCAAAATTAAATTAAAGCAATTATCTTGAGTTTAATAAACGGAATAATGCGATTTATTGTTTTTTTTATATATGTTCACATAATATATAATTGATATTTCGCGACTGAAAGTGCAGTGCACACCTGTGCAAAATATGTTTTTAGGCTTATACTTTATTCAAATGTCTAATGAAATATTCATATGTAGTGCAATATGTAGAGAAGAGGCGATCAATACTGATTAAAATTAAAAGACATGGCATTTCATTCTCTATCTTTATTGACAGTCAATATATCTGCAGATAGTGACAAATGAAACGGCTGAATGAATGATTTATAATGAAATTTGAGGAATTTCTCTCATCTCTCAATGAATTGGAATGCCCGATTTTAGCAGTGCAAATAGATTTCTCATGAATTAAAAATGTTCCAATTAAATAAAATGCTTTCCGCCATGTAAAAAAAATTCTTTCTACGAAAAGGTGAACATGGCAGAGTGGAAAGCACAGTAAAAGAATATTTAATTAAATGGGTAGAAATAAATTTCGATTTACCATTGAAAGGAATTTTTCATTAAGGATGTCATTATGTACATGTTGTGGTGGAAGGTGTTACACTTTGACTCATTTTTTGTTCTCTCTCTCTCTCTTTTTCGCAATATCCACAGACATGCCCGTTGTTACCTTGAAAATGGGCTCTTCTCTAAATCCCGATGACATAAAGGAGGGCGATGATGTATATTTTGAATGTGACATACGGTCCAATCCTAAGCCCTACAAAATGGCCTGGTTCCACGATGTAAGTATTATGTTTGTAGTTAGTCATGCTAAATAGTGTTTTAGCAGTGTTCAGAGCGCTCAGGCACTTTTTTCCTGGCGCCATTCAACCAATTTAATTGAATAAGTTGAATAGGAGTAGAATTTTCCAACTAATCCTTGCCGTGACAGGGCAACGAGCTACACCACAATATCGGAAATGGCATAATACTGTCGGATCAGTCACTCGTTCTGCAGAGTGTATCGAGAAATTCGGCTGGTGATTACACGTGCTTAGCGGCAAATATTGAAGGCAAAGGCACAAGCAACCCGGTTACTCTCAGAGTCAGATGTAAGTTTCTAAAACTGAATATTCAGCATGTTTATCGATTAGAATCTTCGCGCACATTTGGACAAAGGGTGAGCAATTTCACGGGAAAGAGTCCTGAAAATATTGACATTTTCAAAAATTGACAAAAATCAATTTTGCATCACCCCAGATAGTTGACAAAATCATTTTTTCCAATCACATTCAATTTTCATGATAGCAAATTGTCACGTTTCCTGGGCATTGACTTACCCCTTACTTTCTCCACTTGTCTCTTCTGCCTTGTTCGGTAGCTTGAAAATTAGGGGAGGTTGGAGGTAAAATTGTGAAATGAGGGAAAAAACACAGAGACTTTTTTGGGGAAGGGATGAAAAATAAAATAGAAAAATATTGGGGTGACTCGAAAATAGCGAATCTGTTGCTTCCAGCTGTTCCCTTACTGTACGGGGGCGCATTTTTATTATTATGTATTATTATAAATGCCTTTTGGGGGAGAGTGAGGCTCTCGTGGAGACGATGATATCCTATCGCACGGTGTGTATTTTTTCCTCCATTGTCTTTTCTTCACTTCTTCTTCCGTAACATGCGATAAGAAGACATAAACCTGGTGATTTATTCAAAATTGGGAGCTGAATAAAGTGGGTCACACCGGGGAGATGAAAAGGATATCTAGAGTTGAAGTTTTTTTCGGCGCCTTGAATCTAACTACGACATTGTATATACATATTATCACTCATGAGAGAAAAACACGAATGAGAAATGTGACGTTTGAAAAAAATTTTCCATTAAAGTGCAATTTTCGACATCAGTCATGGACCTGTCGCCTTTTGGATATTCACACTGAGAATGCTTGTGAAATGCAAAATATGTATTGCTACAATTTTCACAGGGTGTTTCTGATCCTTTGCGTTTTTACTCTATACGCCCCTCCTCCTGGGTTCTGTTTGCAGATGCCCCGATCTGTGCGGTGGAGCATGAAGAAGTTCTAGGTGCTCTGAAGCATGAAACACTGACACTCAAGTGTGAAGTTGATGCATCACCACCAGCTGAATCATTTCACTGGACATTCAATTCGTCTGGGGAACAAACAGAGCTTCCATCTCGTCTACATTCGAGCGAGGTATATATTACAGTACCCATTATGTGCCATACAGAGCTTTCTCATACTCACCCACTCATTGCTCACGTTGCGATGAAAGCACACCTCCATCTGCCGCTCAAAAAATTCCTACTAGTGCTCCTCAGCGTGAGCAGTACTGCGTGAGACAGTGCCTGACTAATCAAATAAATTATCCTTGAAAATTCCTGCCAAAACTACGTCTCGTATCTCTCCATAGACGGGACTATCTCGCCTCAACTACACGCCAACGTCGGACTTGGATTATGGGACGATTTCGTGCTGGGGTCGCAACGCCATCGGACTGCAAAAAACGCCGTGCATCTTTCAAATAATTGCGGCAGGTACGACTCTTTATTGTCTCCAAATGAATGCCACATTAGTGTGTACATGGGGATGCTCCCATTCTCTGCATTATTAATGTGTTTGTTGCGCGAATGTTGCAGCAGCGCCAGCGTTAAAGAATCTTGCTGTGATCCCCGCCCGTTGAACCACCGTAATCGCGTCTCTTCGCTCCGCACAGAACGCCAAATTTGACTGAAAAATACATAAGGGCCAGAGCTGAAGAGACTCAGATCCACGTTTTGAAATTTCATTAAAATGGAACTGAAATACTGATTGTTAACATAACAAAGACACAATTTGCTTAGAGACACATATTAACCATTCGTGCGAGACTTTTGGATGAATATTTGAGTACTGCAAGGCTTTTCCCTTTAGATGTTGCTATTATAATAGAGCCGTAGAGCAGAGAAACTTGAGAACATTATATCTGAATGCTTGTAATGTTAAATAATATTTCATTGAAACTCTAAAAAAGTTTTGGTTTAAATTTTTCATGATGCATTCTATTAATTAAACAATATTTTTTCCTGACAAAAGGCTTTGAAAAATTCAAAATTATTCAGTGCATAAGGCATTCATTTCGATAGAGATTCGGTATGTTGTACAATTCGTGTTGAAACTCCTCGAAACTTCCTATAATACATATTTCTGTCCTACAAATATATAAATATTTTTAAAAGCGGAAATGATTTCAATTTAAACTTTTTCTGGCTGCTTCTTTCTGGCTATGCCTTACTTAAGACACTCTTTATGTCGTTCCATTCGATATTCATAATGTCAAGGACTGAGGCAGAGATTATTTATGCTGCGAAAATTTGAATACTATTATAGGGAGACACTTCCTATGTACCGAAGAACCGAAGCAATATTGCGGTATTTTCTCTCCCATTTCCATTTACCGCTCCTCATAAGTTTTCCACCTCTATGTACATCCCGAAACTCGTCTTCGCCAGACCGATATATATATTCGTGTAGGAAAAGCATTTGAGTTTGGTTATTAATACGAAACCATATTATTCTGCATGTTCCTCGAGGAACAAGCTGCTGTTGCCACTTTTGCCTGGCGCTGGCTGCTGTGGGTGACTGTGGTGTGGTGTATGCTCATTTTCAGTTAAATAACAAACTTTTGTGTATGTTCCAGGTCGACCATTTTCCTTGCAGAACTGTACTGTTTCCAACCAGTCGTCGGATTCTCTTCATGTTGAGTGCGTGGAAGGTTTCGATGGTGGTCTACCGCAAGGGTTTCTCCTCGAGCTTGTAGAAATGCCTGCACTTCGTTTAGCAAGGAACTTAAGCTTAGCGGTGAGAACACATTTTCTTGATACTTTGCGGGACCACACACTGCACTGTGCATCCCCACATGGGAGTCCGGGGCGATCGCAATGGCCCACTCTGAACTGAGTATCTCTCCCACAGCGAGCGCCAGTCTCCTTCTTCATCGACAACCTGGAGCCGGGCAGCTCGTATCGCATAATACTGTTTGCTGTGAACGCCAAAGGACGCTCCGAGCCTACAATTATCGACGATATTAATTTCAAAGGAGTGGCGAAATTCACGGGTATGTGCTCTAACGTGTGTACCGTTGCCACGTGTATTGATTCAAATGGTAGATGTTATGTAGATCTTATTCATGATGTAAATTGCTGCAGTATAAAAGAATTGCTTTCGCATGCCTTTCACCATAAATTTCAAAGGAAGCTTTACGTGATAACAGCCACAACAGATACACCTTTTTGTTTCCTATCAGCATTATAATTATTTAAAACCGACTCATGTTTTATTCAACGCGCTGTTGAGGGAAGTACACTTCCTGAAAACTCGAGTTTGCCCCACTGTTATTCCATTGACGGTTCCCTGTATCTATACATGGGATGTGCGAAAAATTGCCAAAGAATATAAGTCTACATTTTTTATTTGTATTTATACCGTGTTTTTGGGATGTGCTCTGTGGAAAAATTCATGCATTTTGCGCACCTAACGAGTATGTATGTATATAGTCGAGGGGCTGGATAGAAAGGACCTAAATTTACCATTTTTTACTTGATTCTCTTTCGTCTATCATATATTACATATGTATTAATAATTTTGCATATTCAAATTTGCCATTTCATAGCGCCTAATACACACAACCCGAATGCGTTTGCTAAAACACTTTTCCTCTTGCCACCGCTTGTGGTGAAAATCAATATTCTCATCTCATCTGCAGGTCCATCAAGTGTCAGCGTGCAATTATCTCCCGTCTTAGCTGGTTTAGCCCTAATAGCCGCCATACTTTTTACTGTAGTCTTTTGTGTCATAATTGCTCTATATCGCCGCAATTACAGCAAGTAAGTGTTTTATCGCTCAATTTGTGTGATATGGTGCAATTAGTGTGAAAAATTGCCACGCCAGCAGAGAGGAGGGCTAAATATTTGATAATGAGAACACTTTTCTCTACCACAACACAGAAATTCGGCGGTAGATTTGAAATCAGCCAAACATTTACAACTTCCGCTAACGCAAACGGTAGACTGTCAAATTGAATTGCCACCGCATGCAAGAACAGCCAGTGCCACAGTGACACCACTGGTTGGGTGCGAAGCGCTGCACTCCAATCCACAAATACCGGCCGAGCCTCCCGATGCGGATGACACTGATCCTGATGTTATACCTAATCAATACGGTGCGTAAATTATTTTCCCCGAACGTATATCTTTTTTTTTCGCTGCATTTGTGGTCCTGAAAAGTGCCTAAAATGGGTCAACGGACGACTGGCGCCAAAGGATTGAATCAATTAATTTGAATTGACACGTATCAAGTGTGGTTTTTTGAATATATTCATCAACTGGTTTGCATGTGAATTGATAGAATTGAAAGAATGGGAAACAAACCTCATGAAAATTAGCAGTTCATTGATGATGTTGCACATGTAATCATTTGAATATTTTTCACACCTTTTCCGCGGCTGTCACCGGAATTTAGTGACAGAATTTGGACAGATTTTATTTGGTCTATGTGGAAAAAGGCCAATATTTTGAAAAGTTCTACACTTTTATTAGTAATTTTACATTAATCTCACATTAATGGTGGTTTGCTGAGCGTTGAATTGTTTGTTTGAAGTCTGAAAGTGTTGAATGCGGTGTTTTCCACAGAGAGACGTCCACTTAAAAACTCCATGCAGAACCCACTCTTTCGGAGTCCTTCCACGCGTCTCATTCAGCGGGACTGTCTGGATGAGGATCGCATTGGCGACGGTGCTAGTTTAGTATCTGTGAATGGTGGCTCGAGTGGTGACATCCATCACTACACCTTCAAGCCTAGTAAACAAATTGTAAGGAAAAATGTCCAATTCATGGTCTCTGCTTGTCCTAACAGCTGTGTGTGTGTCTTTCGCCTTTTTTCTGTCTCCACAGAGTTATGCAACATTAGGTAGAGTAAATAAGAATTCTGCGAGTTGTAGCCCCATGGGACAGGCTCTTCCGCTGCCGCTCGGTGTTGGATTGCTCAGTCCGAATCAATCTCATGTGACATCCTCATTGAATGAGTACAGGTTTCGGCCAGAAGTTGTCACAACATCAAATCGAATACAGGAAAGTTGTATATAAAATATACTCAATTTGATATAATGTGAAGTGAAAGTCTGTTTATAGTGCTTAAATAAATAATAATAGGAAATTGGTTGAAAGGGATATCATGTTGAATTGCGCTGAAGATGAACGCTCCGGGTGAGAAGTTTGGTGATTATGGAAAGAGGGTGAAAATTGGTCTGACGTCGGACGAGCCCAGTGGACAATAAATTTTTAATGTTCCCCATTTGTATCAGAAATCTCTCAATTATCCACACACATGCACATGTTAAAGAGGGAGCAATAATTAAACTACAACATTTATACAGAACAGCATAATCACATGACAAAGCTCTACTAAACATATCACCATCGATGGTCGGGCGAAAAAAAGGGAAAGTACAAGAGCTGTAAATAAATAAATAACAATAAATAACCGAGTGAAATGGCATAATTGTGCTCCGGAATACACCTGTACAGGTGCTCACTAACAGAATGTTGATAAGGAATATGCCAATCACGTCGTGGAAAGAAGTGTGAGCGGTTAGAAAGTTGTGTGAACTTTAACTAAATGAAGGACATCGAATGAGAAACACGAATAAAAGAATTGTTTGTTCTGCCAAAATAAACATTGTGAGAATGGTAAAAGCTGCTTTGCATATAAAGTGAATTTTTTTTTTCACCAACCCATCATATACATTTTCGGTCTCTTTTTTCCCTCTGAAAAAAAGGAACTTTTTTTTTTACTGATGTTCAACTGTTAAGTATTTTCTTTTGAACGGCGGAAGGTATAGAGCCTGAAATAGGTGACAAAAACACAAGAAAAATAGCATGGAAAATGTGTATTCGTGTGCGAATGAGGTTAGGATAATGGCAAAATGCTTCGGGAGGTTCATGTTCAAACGATAATAATTCACACATATACCCCAAAACATATCTCTCCAATTCGTCTGGGGACATCTGCATTTTCTTTGAAAACTATACTCAAACGACAGCAAGTATAATTAAATACTCGTGGTGCATAATGCAACCTCGGCAAGCGAGAATAGGTATATGTTGATACACTAAAGCGCAAAGTGATTTTGTACATAGAATCTCATTATAAATTTATTGATCCCAAAATTGCGTCTTCTCAAGAGTGAGTTCTGTTTTATGCATCTTCTCTATTCACACTTGAATGGGAGATTATTGAAAATTTCAAATGAAAATAAAATCATATCAAAAATTATATCACACTTATTAATTGATAATGTTTTTTCAAGTGCCAAACGATTTAAAAAAAATGATGCGATTTTAGAATTGAAGTATTGTTATTTTTTAATGTTACAAAATCTCAGTTGAATCATATCAAATGTGACAGATGTTTAGTATTATATATATATATGAATGTATGTAGGAAATGAAAACATATTTCTTTGAAACTGATACATATGAGAGCATATAATTTTTCGTCCCTCTGATTCCCGTGAGAAAACCATCTTTTATACTATATGAATTGTATATGCGTCAATTTGAAGTATGACTGTAATTGTGAATACTTAGAGGGCGAAAATAGTATATAGTCAGTAAGATAAGTAAGAGTCATAAGGCAAGAAATATCCGACATGTAAAAAGAAAACATTTTATGAAGAAAAGAAAATAAATTATTGTCAAAACTCGAGCTTTTTATTTGATTTACTTTGAATTAAGTAATTTCTTTATACGTATTTCTTAACGTTCTCGTTTCGTATTGCAAAACATCTCCAGTGATTTTTGTGTAACCATAAAATATGCTTCGGTATGAACAATTTCTCATTATAATTATGACAGTGTCTTGTGCTGGAGAAGATAATACAGGATGATTGCTCAAAGAGCTCAAGCAGTAATTGCCATGACCTCTACTCGAAGCATCAATTGTACTGTTTAGCACCACCAGACGGCAATAATTGCGAATAAAAGGTAATAAATTTCGCTAATAAACACTTCGCATAGTTGTCTAGCATGTGTTCACATCACTGGACAGCATTACAAATATTTCCATGTATTTGTTCTGGACTTTTTTTTCCTAACTTTCGCGCTGAACATCAATATTTTGCAACGGACATCACTATGTCATTAATAACAACTGTATGTGCTCAAGCCTGATTTAGATTTAACGATTAGAAGTAGAACAAATAAATTTTATTGCTGATACATTTATTTACGTGAATTTATGGTTGGAATTTTCCAATGCGGTTTATAATTACAATTAATTGGACTATTTTGCTGTCAATGTTGATTTAGAACATCAAACAACGCGATACTCCGTATGATAAATGCGAATTTTGACAATCTTGAGGCAATTCTACTGCAATATGGAAGCATAATAAAATGTAAAATGAAATTGAAATGTACAATTCAGCTTAACAGGAGAAGAGTGACGATGTTCAAACGATCAAACAGAATGAATTGCACAATAGACACTCTGTAAGGTAATTGACAATTTGATTAAAATATCATAATCAAATTGTCTCTCAAATGTGAGTGATATGTTTATACCGCTGCACTTTAAAGACTCAATTTCACTCCAAACTCCTTTGCGTCTCTCACTGTTGATCCAGTTTTCCAGTTAAATGGGTAAATTTGAGTGAATGAAATTGTTATATTCATCACCGATTAGCGTCTTCAATTTGCAAAATGGTGGAAGAAGGTGAGATTGCTTCCATAACTTCGCTGAAGTGGTACAATTTTGAAGGAAAAAAAGCTCAAAAGTAAATAATTGTGAAATTTGCAATAAATTGAGAATATTTCCTTCCGCTGAGAATTACTTTGCGGTGAGCGCCGGAGCAGCAAAAGCCCATTCATGGATGAAATATAGCACCAATCACAAATTTTATTGGACATGTGGGGCGAATTCTCCCACTAGACACTCTCATACGTTATTAAGTAGAATAAATTGGAATTTTATTCATGTTTGTGGTAAGCTAATTTTTCAAAATAACCTCATACAACATTCGGAGAAGTTAAATCTCTTGAAATGATACGCTGAGGCTTGCGGTATTTTTCTAAGACGTCGAAAATCGATGCTCTTCATGGGTGGAATATTTTCATGGACATTTGACCTCCTTTTGTGGGCCTCAATGGAGTGTTCCATTGTTGGATGTGGACTCCAAATGAAATTACTGAATTAATTGAGTGCAATATGTGTCGTTTATATGATTTACTGGACACTAAGCCGCACCATTTTCTCATCATATCCGAGAGAGGCGAGCCTGATGTATCGTAATTAAATTTTTTCCGCATCGTAAATACAGCCTCCGGCAAAATAGAATAAATTGACAAGCACATAACACCAATGAAAATGAACAAATATGAAACATTTGGTATGCCAAACACAATTGCGAGAGAGAAAAGAAGCTCACGGGGTTGGGTTGAAGTTGAGCAATTGCACACTGCCGTTGTATTTGTTTGCGGAGCAAACCACATAAATTATTGAATGGCTGGAGGAACGAACTTCATCATCGCCGATTCACCAGCGCCGCCCGGGAGGTGGGATCGAGGTACTCATGTCGAGGGTGGGTGGTCTTAATAATTCAATAAAAGCTGTCATCACACGTTCACTGGGAATTTTATCTCGTTTGCCAGGCGCACATTCATTTGTACAATCGTACATGGCGAGCTGCTCGATGTCCGACTCCTCAATTGCCCCTCAAAGTGCACCGATTTCACTCAGCTGCCCAGGCGATCGGCAATACATTGCGATTTACTGCGCTAATTACTTTCTTCGTCGTGGCATTTGGATGTAAATAAAATACAGCAGATGTCAGTATTATCCGCACCGGACATATTGATTTATTTCTCAGCCTTTTGACGTCTCTGAATTATGTATACGTTCCTTCGTGGCAAAGTCGAAATCAGTATTCAATCACAGTATGATTGTTCACTCTCCTTGGTGAATCGAAAAAATAGCGAAATTCTCACTTCATGCACCTCGCCGGACATAGCCGCACGGAATTAATGCAAAAATGCAAATTGGACAGAATATCAGATGAAAGACTATATGAGCATCCGCTGTTTGAGGCAATAATTAAAGTGGAGCAATTTCAACTACAGACGAGCAATTCCAAATTGTACCTCACAATCGATTCGGGAAAACTAAAAACTCTCCAATTTCAATGAAACCACTGATACCATCCGCTGCGTGTGTACCCCTGCAATTGATGTGAAGATGCTACATTTAGCTGTTGAGTGATATCTACATTTCATCACAGGACTCTATGAACCACGTATTGAAGTGTAGAAGTAGGAAAAAAAATTACATAATTGCAGTTTTAGTTCGGTCATGCCTTAAAGCCATTCATTTCTCCTGCACTTCATGCTTAATTACTACTTTCTTTGATTTGAATTCATCGCCATTTCTGTATTTCGTGGCACTTTATGTGAGTAGAAATAATTCCTCAGTTCTTCGATTAAAAGCTTAATACTTTAATGAAATGAACAGAGGAGTGGCAAATGAAAATCCTTAATTCCAAACAAGTTGCGTGTCTTATCTAAATCTCAAATGGATTCCCAATAGTGAAGAACGACTCCTTCGTGGCTTTCGCTCCGTTTTTTCGAAGCCTCTCAATGGTAAGTGCAGTGATTGACTCGTGTGCTATTCTCGATGATTTGTCGAGAGGTCTTTGGGTGGATTTTTACATACATCACGTTTCTATTACACATGATGCAAATCGCAAGGGTGCCCTTTGTAGAAGTTAGAATAATAATATGAGTTTTTTTTGTTAAAAAGAACGAAGCGCGGAGCAAAGGGAGCTGAAAAAATATGGGAGTGGAAAAAAGCTTTGTAGTTTTATTAGATACCCTCTCGTGCGTGGGATTTTTTCCACTTCAATTATTCAACATTAAACCGGGGAAAATGTAATCGAAAAAAAAACCACTTGAAAGCCATACATATCAATTTATTTGCAGTGGTGGAGTTTGGTTTTTGCAAATAGTATAATAGATTTATAAGGAGTGGATTAATATGAATTCGAATTGTTGGCCAATATAGCACTCGTTTATATTTCAGTTGAATTTGTTAGTGAATATTTCACCAGTTCCATTAATAAAATATTTTCACGTCTCATTTTTCGCCATTCTCACTCGATATTTTCTCAAGACAGAGGAGAATGTTTCTATTTCATGAAAATCAATGAATCCTACCCACTCCCGGCTGTCTCCGGAGTGTGTATATCCCTCTGAAATACTCACTGGGAATTCTACCCCGACAGACCCCACTTCGCCGCTATTATTGGTATTTGTTTTCTTAGAATTTTCTCTCAAAAAATTCGGACAGAGATTTGCTTTTCCCCAACAAAATTCACTTGGAGAGTCCTCAGGCCTTATTGGTATCCAAATATTTTCAGTGCAGAAGAAAACATTGTCATAGTAAAAGAAATTTTATGAATTTTAATGAAACATTATACAATCTGTGGGGGATAAATTTAGAAGAGAGAGAGAGAGAGCGAGAGATGTACAGCATACGAAAGTATACGAATCATACTTAAACTTTTTAACATTTCCCACCTCTCGAACGTACACTTCAAAGAGGACTTTGTGGCGCAATGAGGTTCCGCTGCAGAATACACTCTCTAGTCCCTTTGTTTGAAGGCACAAAATGATGTGAATTCATAATTTATTCAAATACAAAAGCTTCTTTTTTCCTCATCACCCGTCTGCAAATTAATCGTGCGCGAGATTTTAGAAAATAAATGCTCCCCAGTCTGACTTGTAGTAAACATGACTCAATTCATTAGGTACACTTTTGTTGAAACCCTTGCGTGGGTGTTGGACACCCATTCATCCAGTCAAATCCCATTGAGGGCGACAGAAAGAGAAATTTCTCCATTTTCATCGCGTCCAGAGCGCGGGGAAAACGTATGAAAATAAACTTGATGACATCATCTACCTTTTGTCACTCAACTGTAAACTCGAGGTGTGAACGGAACGGTGGGTATTTGAAGCACAATCATGGCACATGCAAAATGTAAATAAATTTTATTACGGGCACTGGGACATACACCCGCCGTATTAATGAACTGCAAACATTGAAATCAATTATAAAATTGATTGCAAATTTTTAGCATGACCCCTTCAACATTATGCGGGCAAATACAGCTCCGCTGTATACGTTTACAAGTGGCGGAGAGCAAACTTTATATAGAATCCGAATCGACAGGTAATATTCGATGGCAAACAATTGACTGTTGCTGCCTTAAATGCCCGCTTCTAGATAGAGAAATCAGCGAGGAGAAGCAAAATCTGAGGAATATAAAGAGTGTTTGGTATGAAAATATTGAATTTCATCAGGCTTATTGATATTGGCGAAAAAAAAACCTGCTTCAGATAGATGCGAAAAAAAACCCGAGGAGCATCCTCCAATCAGTGTCAATTTAACATGAAGTAAGTGCGCCCTATTCATTATGTACACCCGCTGTACATCTTAAGTTTACCAAGAAGATTTAAATGAATACTCCTGACCGAGCATAAAAGCAGAAAAAACTGCGGTGGAACTTGGAAAACATACAAAGTTTTAAACTTACTTCACCTTCCGTCCAAATCAGCTTATGGTGGGCGTCAAGTCATGCTCTGAAGGAAAAAACGCCACACTCACTTATAAGCCCGATTTATGAGTTTATCCATGCAACCAAAATATTAGTACAGTTTTTCATGTGCAAACCATCTAAATAACTTGTTATGTGATGTCGAAATTGTCATGAAC